CGGGGGGAGCCATATTTGAAGTGCTGCCTGTTAATTAGCACTTACTCTGTTCATTTGGTGCTACCTTACAGGAAAGCCAGATACCATTAACACTGTATTTGCCAAAATAAAGGTATGAAGCATCAGGTACCCAAGTAATAGTTAATACTACTGGTCCGCTGCATGGAGAGAAGACTTCAAAACCCAGACTGACACCGGACACAACAGACACGGCCCTTTCTACCTCACTCAACGTCCCAACACCGCCCAAAGGAAACAGTAAACCGAATTTAATCTCCACACACAAACACAACAGGCTTTTCTGAGCTGCCCAGGGCTGAGAACTGCAGCCAGGCACAAGCACCCAGGTCAGGTAGAACAGGACAAGGCGCCGTGTCCTTACACCACCTGGGCACTGCCCAGCAGAAACGCCTGCACGGGCGTTTGCTCTTGCATACCGGGTGCTGCTGCCCAGCACACCCACCTGTCAAAGGGCCCGTCTGTTTTAATGGTTAACCAGGCGACACCCGACTCCCCGTGCCCTACGTGGAACACGCCAGCTCCAGCACGTTTCAGCGAGCCTCCGCGGAGCAGCAGAGCTCGGCTCCAGGCACGGATTTCTAGGAATACCGCTGGACTGAACAGCCCGTTCCTTGTAAAGGAATTACATTGGAAAAAGCTCAAAAACCACACACAGGAAAGAGATCCCTCCAAACAACTGCAGCCATAACCCAGAAGTTACTGAAAAACAGTTTTTCTTCCCCCAAGAGGAAGGCTGCAAACCTCCTCTCTGGATCAGGCCCTTACTTCTCTGCTCCTGTTCCAGCAAGAGTGAAAGGCAACTTCTTGTGCCCTCCCTGAAAAGCAGTAACCAGAAGCACACACGTGCAGGGAAACAAGCTCCCATTAACATCTGTCCTGGAACATGAAACTCACTTTACTTTGAAGCACGCCTACAAACAGCGCAGCTGGATATCCTGCTTCAAGAACGCTCTCCTAATGAGTTTCCAAACCACTGGAAACCTCTTTTCACTAAAAGATTTTGAGTTCCTTCGCTAGACCCAAGGGGAGACGTAACCCAACTCAGAACTGTGCTGGAGCACTCAGCCGGATTTGAGAAGGCAGGCGCCTCGTCCGCGAGCTGAGCGCGGAATTCCTGGGAGGTTCGCAGAGGCGAGGACGGGGCTTCCTGGAACTGCAGCTCATGTACTGAGTATCAGGAGCACAGTTCAGGTGGACAAGAGGTTCCACGCCTGGCTCAGGTTCCTCTGACAGTCACAAGCCCAGAGCTGACGAAAGCAGACACCCGGAGTGCGACACGGAGCCGCGCTGTCAGCAGGCACAGCCCGAGGCCATAAAGGGCTCCTTCCAGCGCACAGAGCTGAGTTACCAGCAGCTCTCCCCCTGTTGTAAGGGTCTGTATGTAGTACTGACTGCACCTCGTGGGAGCTGCTCTGCTCCCTGAAAGCCCTGGGTGTTGAAGCCGTGGTGTAACCAAGCGCCTCACGGTGCAACTTGGAAAGTCTGGATGAGAATTTGACTCACTGAGTATTTCCATCAGGATGAAACACCAGGTTTGAAGGAGTGTTGAGTAAAACATCCTGTTGCTTTCCTGCCAAATATGCCCGTTACTGTGGTGCTGACCGGGGCACAGGCGCTGCTCTGAGAGCCATCCCATCCCAAAGAGCTGACACCTCCAGCAACTCCGGAGGCAGCTCCTTCTACAAAAGGTGCTGCGAGCACCAGGGCATCACTGCCCGCAGCGAGCACCGCAGCAGCTCGGTGCACCTCGGCTCACAACAGGCCGAGCTGGCAGGACCCCCCAGCAGTGCTGCAGGTGGGCTCTATTCAAGACAACGTGTCCATGTGCCCTCAGCAAGCTGGTGAGGAGCCAGGAGAGGCACAAAGGGAAACTGAGAACAGACTGTGCTTACAGGTGACACCTCACCTCTTACACATTCCTCCACGCTGATTTTTCACCTCTGCTGACTGCTGGAAGAAAAACAGCTACTGCCTGTGCTGTCAGAGGACAGGGAATTTCTTTATTCCACCATCCCTTTCCGAGGGGATCACAGAGTCCTGAGAGATCTGTGAAGGGAGCTGAAAAAGGAAAATCAAGTCCTTTCCTCCCATCATTGGCACCAAACCAAAGAAAAACTCTGCTCACTCACACCAGTTGCACGGTGGGCTGTGCCACTGTCCTGCTACCGGGATGAGAGGGAGGACACTTCGGAGCATCATGAGACATGACTGTCTGCCCTGCTCGGATGGGCCCCTTTTATCCAAACTGCATTTTAGGAAGTCACTTCAACACTTCTGGGGAGTCAAAGGCAACCTGCCAAAGAACTTCATCTCAGTGTTGTGCACAGTGAAAAATCCTAGCAGGAAAAGCTGGTGGATTTGAGCACAAGCAAAGCCACACCAGAGTAAAGGTGCTAACGAGACAGCTGATCTGTAAGTGCCTGACAGCTGGAAAAGCGAGTGTTCCCCTGCTCTTTCCACGTAAATAAGCTTGGCTGCTGGACACACACAGCTCAGCGTACCGTAGCTGTGGAGAACCACTTTTCCAACAGCCTTCAGTCCCCCAGCACTGCTGCTGCGGGTTTCCAGCGCTGGCACCGAGCCCTTTTTCCATCACTCACATTCCCAGCACTGCTTACAGCCAAAGGGATGACTTCAGAGATTACAGTCCTCAGTTCTTCTCCAAAATTAGTCAGAGGTTTTGCACGACAAGTTTGATCTGCTTCTTTCTTCTGACTCTTCAGACTTAACCTACTGCTTTGCAGGAAAGGTCAGACTTTCCCGCATACGCTGAATGTTTTGAACGGAAGGACCTAAAGCAAGTGGTTCTGAAACACAAGATTATTTTCACAGCAGTCAGGGCTGACCTGCAAAGGAGCAATGCAAACACAAATTCTGCCCGAATCAGTGGATAAATGGGTTAGCAGAAAACAGGGGAGGAGAACGTAGCCCAGACAGCAGAGAGGCTCCCCCAGTCCAAACTGGCCTGGCCCCAGCACTCTTTAAAGTGACACTTTGGTGCACCCATCTGGGGAGTTTGCTGTGAAACGTACCGATAACTGACTTCGAGAGCTCTTCCAGACTCTGCAGGACAAGGAATTCTTGCAACAGTGACTACAAACAGACCAACGACCCAAGACTAACATCCACTCCAAGTCCTTCCGGAGCTTTAAAACATTCCTCCTTTCAGCACCCAGATCCAGCACCTGAAGGTGGGCAGCCAGCACCCACAGCCAGGCTGGGCACAGACTGAAGCACCCCGTGGCTGTGGATTTCGCCGGACGCGCACGCCCTCACAATAAACGCTGTTTGCTTTCTCCTCCGTGCTCCAGACACTCGTTAACTCTCCAGCAGAGATGATAGTCCTGGAAGGCTCATTACTCTGCACAGCACTCTTAATGGTTCATTTGTATTCTGCTACTCAGAGCACATGAATATCGCTGAGAAAGGCATTTTCATTCTTCTGCCTTCCATGGCATAATTACCGCGAGTGTCATGGAAGCACTTCAGTTATTTGCTGCTTTCAGAGCAGAGAGAACATATGGCAAAAACAACACAAGAACTTTAGTTCCCCAACCAAGCTCTTCTGCACAAACACAAAAAACATGTGAGTCAGCAATGCCAATTTCCTCCTCCTCTAAGTTTTAACCCCTGAAATATTGTGTTGTAAAGAGACCAGTAGGTCTGAGGGATGAACAAAACATCCATCCACCTCCTCCCATTTAGTTTATT